AGTAAGCAAGTAAGTAAGTAAGTACGTAAGTAAGTAAGTAAGCAAGTAAGTAAGTAAGTAAGTAAGCAAGTAAGTAAGTAAGTAAGCAAGTAAGTAAGTAAGTAAGCAAGTAAGTAAGTAAGTAAGTAAGTAAGTAGGTTAGTTAGTTAGTTAGTAAGTGAGTAAGTAAGTAAGTGCATAAGAAAGTAAGTAAGTAAGCAAGTAAGTAAGTAAGTAAGCAAGTAAGTAAGTAAGTAAGTAAGTAAGTAAGTAAGTAAGTAAGTGAGTAGGTAAGTAAGCGAGTAAGTAAGTAAGTAAGTAAGTAGGTTAGTTAGTTAGTTAGTTAGTCAGTTAGTAAGTAAGTAAGCAAGTAAGTAAGTAAGTAAGCAAGTAAGTAAGTAAGTAAGTAAGTAAGTAAGTAAGTAAGTAAGTGAGTAAGTAAGTAAGTAAGTAAGTAAGTAAGTAAGTAAGTAAGTAAGTAAGTAAGTAAGTGCATAAGAAAGTAAGTAAGTAAGCAAGTAAGTAAGTAAGTAAGTAAGTAAGTAAGTAAGTAAGTAAGTAAGTAAGTAAGTAAGTAAGTAAGTAAGTAAGTAAGTAAGTAAGTAAGTGAGTAAGTAAGTATGTAAGTGGCGAAGTAAGTAAGTAAGTAAGTAAGTAAGTGCATAAGTAAGTAAGTAAGTGAGTAAGTAAGTAAGTGAGTAAGTAAGTAAGTAAGTGGCGAAGTAAGTAAGTAAGTAAGTAAGTAAGTAAGTGGCGAAGTAAGTAAGTAAGTAAGTAAGTAAGTGCATAAGTAAGTAAGTAAGTGAGTAAGTAAGTAAGTGAGTAAGTAAGTAAGTAAGTAAGTAAGTAAGTAAGTAAGTAAGTAAGTAAGTAAGTAAGTAAGTAAGTAAGTAGGTTAGTTAGTTAGTTAGTAAGTGAGTAAGTAAGTAAGTGCATAAGAAAGTAAGTAAGTAAGCAAGTAAGTAAGTAAGTAAGCAAGTAAGTAAGTAAGTAAGTAAGTAAGTAAGTAAGTAAGTAAGTAAGTGAGTAAGTAAGTAAGTAAGTGGCGAAGTAATTAAGTAAGTAAGTAAGTAAGTGCATAAGTAAGTAAGTAAGTGAGTAAGTAAGTAAGTGAGTAAGTAAGTAAGTAAGTAAGTAAGTAAGTAAGTAAGTAAGTAAGTAAGTAAATAAGTAAGTAAGTAAGTAAGTAGGTTAGTTAGTTAGTTAGTAAGTGAGTAAGTAAGTAAGTAAGCAAGTAAGTAAGTAAGTAAGCAAGTAAGTAAGTAAGTAAGCAAGTAAGTAAGTAAGTAAGTAAGTAAGTAGGTTAGTTAGTTAGTTAGTAAGTGAGTAAGTAAGTAAGTGCATAAGAAAGTAAGTAAGTAAGCAAGTAAGTAAGTAAGTAAGCAAGTAAGTAAGTAAGTAAGTAAGTAAGTAAGTAAGTAAGTAAGTGAGTAAGTAAGTAAGTAAGTGGCGAAGTAATTAAGTAAGTAAGTAAGTAAGTGCATAAGTAAGTAAGTAAGTGAGTAAGTAAGTAAGTGAGTAAGTAAGTAAGTAAGTAAGTAAGTAAGTAAGTAAGTAAGTAAGTAAGTAAATAAGTAAGTAAGTAAGTAAGTAGGTTAGTTAGTTAGTTAGTTAGTTAGTTAGTTAGTTAGTTAGTTAGTTAGTTAGTTAGTTAGTTAGTTAGTTAGTTAGTTAGTTAGTTAGTTAGTTAGTTAGTTAGTTAGTTAGTTAGTTAGTTAGTTAGTTAGTTAGTTAGTTAGTTAGTTAGTTAGTTAGTTAGTTAGTTAGTTAGTTAGTTAGTTAGTTAGTTAGTTAGTTAGTTAGTTAGTTAGTTAGTTAGTTAGTTAGTTAGTTAGTTAGTTAGTTAGTTAGTTAGTTAGTTAGTTAGTTAGTTAGTTAGTTAGTTAGTTAGTTAGTTAGTTAGTTAGTTGGTTAGTTAGTTAGTTAGTTAGTTAGTTAGTTAAGAATCAGCCACAGAATACAGATACAATGAAATGAGGAATCTCAAATAAGATAAAGGAACTCTTATCCTAGTTTCCATTGTCAGCTATTATTCAATTTTAGTCAAAAATACTCTATCCAATAATGATTATAAGATATCAACCAGCCCTATTGATTACTGTTTATTAGAAATAAGCAATAGTAATAATCATTCTTTGTTGACCACAGTATACACCACATGAAACTGAAATAACATAACAACTAGAACAAGATTGACAAATCATAATAGAACATCATCAAATCATAAGAGACATTGATTAGAATAATCTTTCTAAAATCCTATTCTCAAGAAAAATAAACAATGAATTGATCTTGCATTTTATAGGTAAATATCCATGAAAAAATTTATAAAATAATTAACCGTGATAATAATAAAAATAATAAAATCTTTCAGATAAGAATCAAGATTGTGTACTATTGATTAAAATTAAGAATTAACAGGATGCATAAAAATATGATAATAATCTGATGAGGTCAGTTGAACATTAGTTATATATATATATATATATATATATATATATATATATATATATACAGAGAGAGAGAGAGAGAGCCATGAATTACGTTTCTTCCTTATGAGCATCAATATGTTGCTTTGTTGAGAAAAGATTTAGATAATCTGTTAAAATGAATAAGTGTGTATCATATGTATATGTGGGGGGAAATAAACTTTATAGAATGTTGAAAAATGACTTGGGAAATATTGTTAGATTGATTACATAGTCAGTGGATACATTTTAAAGTAAATTTGACATATTTATGTTCGCTGTAGTTTAAATATGATCAGTACTAATTTCAAGTTGGCTAACTCAGTGTGTTTACTAGTGATTAGCTATGTAAGGAAGTTTCTCTGAATTCTAGTAAGAAGTTGTGACCTCTGGAGTTCAACCCTGTCCGAGTGTGAACCAGAGGTCACTGAAGACTTTCGATGGGGTTGAACAAGACCGTAGAATAATCGAAGTTAGACATTAACACTGTTAGATATCGGCTCAGTGGTTTAGAGGTTAGGCATTTGCACTCAATCTAAAGTCTTAGGTTCGAATTCCATGAGTAGCAGAAGTAGTGGATATGCACTATTGATGAGTTCAGTACCAGGACGAAACGGCCTTTAAGTGCTTCCGGGTTCCTAATCGTGGTATAACAGTGATTGATTCATGATTTCGAATCTTGCGGGTATCAGGGGTTATTATTATTATTATTATTAATAATCAACCCTAATTACATCATTGGTATTGATTCAATTGCTTAGAACTTAAATTATCTGAAAAATGAAAAAAAGTTACACCAAGAAATGCCATCGAGCTATGTCTTGCGATATAGGAATGGGTTAGACGAAAGCTAGGGTTGGCCAGACTAAAACATGGCACAAATCCATAAAGTCACTGACAATTGAACTGAGTCATATCGGTAGGTGTCCACTACGTGGTTAGAGCCCGCGAGATGAAAATAGTCAATGGTTAGAGACCTTGAATGACATGACTCAAAACCGTTTACAATGGCTCCGGTGCATCCAATCTTTGTGTTCTCTCAAATCCTAATCCTCTGGATTCTTCATCACCTTTATCTTTCTCTTCACAAATTTATTTACACATTTGAAATCATCAATCAATCATTGTTAGACCACCACTAGAAACCTGGAAGCACTGAAAGACAGCCGTTTCGTCCTGGTATGGGACTCATCAGCAGTGCGCATCCACGACTCCTGCTCCTCGCAGGATTCGAACCTAGGACCTTTGGCATGATGATTGCAAATGTGTAAAAACGCAAACCTCCAAAACTGTGCCTCAAATTTATTTCACTGAATTATACTTCTTGAATAACATCTTCAAATTCCTAATCTCTCCGATTACTGCGCTAATACTTTTACTACCTCTACTACCACTATGGGATTTGAAGTAGACAATTACATCTGTGCTAATGTCATATTGGCAACACTTGAACTAATGTACGTACGTACGTAGGTACGCAGGTTCGTACGAAGTTCAATGTTGCTGTTAATTGAGTGATTGATCAATACAGAGGTGTAATAAAAAAAATCTAATTAAAACTTTTCAAAATGAATAAAATCACGTGAACTAGAATGAAACAGGTATTTAGCAAAAAGAAAAAAACTGTTTCTTCAGTCAAATATCAAGAAAAAAAAACAACAGCATTTAAACTGATTCAAATTATTTTAGAAAATCTTACATTTAAACAAAAATTAATTTATTCATTCAGTTGTTAATAACATTTTTTAAAAAAAATTATTATTATTATTACTATTGACAAGAACATTGTGGAGTAAGTAAGTAGTGGGAAAAAAATATTCCAAAATACATTTATGTACTTGAATGTCAAGAAGCTCACGAGGTTTGTCTCAGTTTTGAGACAATTTCATCAAACTTTTGTTTTTCAAGTGATTTTATTCATTCACACCTCTTTCAATCTTGCCAACTGTTCGCTTTTATCTTGGTCGTTTCTGTTTTGGTGTGTGTGTGTGTGTGCATACTTACTTCGCTTCAAACACGTCTGACTTATTAATTTGTCTGACTATAAATACTTAGTGATGATACTTTGTTGCATAGAGTTAGCTCACTCACTCACCCTCTGCACTTCACTTCGCCTTTGTTTTGCAGCCTCATGTCTGTCTGTCTATCTATCTGTCTATCTATCTGTACGAACGATTATTACCTGAAATAAATTCATCCAACCAACTCGGTGTATTCGACTTCTTATTACTGCCGTTGCACAAATGGGCTTTGCTCAATCAAGTATGATATAGAGAGGACATCGAAAAAGGGAGGAGATTTATTTCACAAAATAATTTTACTTGTTAATCAATCAAAATATCGGAGTCAGATCATGGGGACACTGAGGGTAGCGAAGCCTACAGTCCACAAATAAATATGTTTCCTTCATTTTTTTTCAAAAATTTAATTAAATCAAATTAATTTCTTAGTAGTTAAAATAAATTTGGCAATTATTTAATTGGGTTACAAAATTATGTTACACATTGTTATGATTATTATGAGTTTTTCTCTTTTGAGAATGAATTAACTTACCCGCCAAATATATAATCGAGAAATGAATATTTCGATTGAGCAAAATATAATTTTACAGTAAGCTGAAAAGCAACGAAAATGATATGTACATATAGAATTAATTTTTTAAAAAAATTATGAGGAAAAATTTTCATTACCAATTTATTTAATAGAATTTTTGATACAATTTAATGAAACCCAATGAAAATAATTAATTAATTGCTCGCGGAGTAAAATGTTATTTTTTTTGTAGTTAAAATGGTTAACAAAGAGTTAATTAGTAGTAGTGTAGTGCGCGCTACTTATAAGTAGTATATGACGTGAGTGTAAACGTAATGTCTGGCAGCAGAAGATGAGGGAAGATCAAGAAAAAGGAAGAAGAGTGGGAACACAATGGAATTTGTATGAAACGCATGAATAGTGAGTGAAATGTCAGACAATGGATTGATGATGGATTGAAGATTTGCAAATTAACCGTTTACGATATGGTTTTTCTATTTTACTGAATAACTCTGTAATTTTTGTTAAATACAATTCGTTTGCCCTCACTGGTGTTCTCCTTCACTACAGTAGAACAGCTTTGGTTGGAAAAAGTGATGCATTTTAAGCATAGTAAAATAAGGGCTGCATTTTTACAATTGAACAACAGCTGGAACTTAAAACAACTATCAAAAGAAAAAACACCAACGTCACAATTTTCAATACAAATGTCAAGTCAGTGCTATTGTATGAGGCGGAAACTTGGAAAACTACCATAGCCATCATCCAGGAGGTATAAGTTTTGATTAATAGTTGTTTGCTCGAAAATACTTCGGGTCCATTGGCTAGACACCATCAGCAACAATATACTGTGGGGAGAGAAAAAATCAGATTCCAACGAAAGAACAATTCAGTAAGAAGCGCAGGAGATGGATAGAACATACACTGAAGAAACCACACATCCACATCGCAAGCCAAGCCGTCACTTCGATCACTCAAAGTTAAAGGAAAAGAGGATGATGACTAAAGAACATATTACGCTGAGAAACGGAGACAGATATGAGAAGAATCAACACTTTTTGGATAGAACTGGAGAGGTCCAGGAGATAATAGGTTGGAGAATGCTACTTGGGGGGTAAGTAAAACATATCTTTATCGTCCTTTAGCTTTTCTTGTTTCGTCAAAGGAGTTTAGTCACTGATGGAATTCGACAACAAGAGAAGACCTGTTCAAAAATAAATGGATACTTTTTTCATTATTTAGATGTATTTGTTGAGCTTACATGGTTGTTTCGGTCAATATGATCATGAGTATTGAGTGATAATGAGTGAGCCTCTAAGTTATTATACAAGTATTAAATCAGAATGGCTTTGTTTATTACTGGTTGTCAGACCAGCATTAGAAAGCTAGAATTACTGGACAGCTGTTTCGTCCTGTTATGGGACTCATTAACAGTGTACAACCTCGACTCCTGTTACTTGCAGGATTCAAGCTCAGAAATTTTAATCTTGCGCGCGAACATTTAACCTCTGGACCACTGAGCTGACATCCAGTGGTGTTTGTGTTTAACTCTGAATTTTGTTCAACTATGATGTTGACTTATTTACCAAACAGTGAAATTCTCATAGTGTGGTGTGTGCTACTTATACGCATGAATGTCAGTCTACTCCAAAGGTAGTTCCAGGTGCAGCAAAAAGTGCGAGCCACAAACACTGATAAAGAAGACGGCTGTACGGTGATCAGAAAGACTGAGAGAGCGACTTGTTAAAGGGGGGACGAGTATGGTGTAGTGTGCTACTTATACGAACGATATAAGTAGTAGTATAAGAAGGGACGTGAAAGAAGAAGTCGCACGGTCAGCAAAGGAAAATGGAAAGCAAATGGAGCAAAAGCAAGAAGTAAAGAGGGAGTACCAACAGGAAGGAAAGGAAGCAACAACAGGAATGGAAGAAGGCTGGAGCGTTGGACGTCACGACTCAAAGATGGTGTGCAAATAGAGTGTTGAATGTAATGTTTTCGTTTTTAATTGACTCAGAGTGTAAATTTGCATAATACAGTCTTCCTCGCCAGCCTCAGTCTTCTCAATAGTAGATATATTATCGTATAATCTGTGAGTTTATTTAACAGTTTGTAAACTACAAAAAAAATTTAACAATTTACTCGTTGATTTGATTATATTTTATATATATAATAGAATGACCTTTTTTCTCTCACTCTTATATATTTACTATGTAATATATATAAGATAAGAAGGGAACAAAAATAGGCTTCAAATAAAAAAGGCGTTAATCATTAAACATTATTTTATTTTTTTGTGGTAAAATTATCTTTCACTCATCAAACCTGATAACATACATACTACCGAATAAGAAGAAAAAACAAAAATTGATAGAATTTTTAATGGAATTTCATATTGTTTTAAATTGTTAAGGTCATCGAGAAAGCGAAAGCGCGCGCGCGCGCTCGCCTAACAAAGTGATACATTAAAACAAATACAGTACCTAGTGTATTATATAATTTTTGCTTCTATATTGAGAAAATAATAGAGAAAAATTGTAATTTTTTTGCAATTGACAAGTGGCAATTTAAAAGTGATACTTGCGTTACGTTTCATTTGATTCTAGTGAATTTTGGGTGGATATTTTTTCGGATACATCAGGTGGAACTAAATGTTGAGCGGAATGAACTTTATGTGTGGGGAGTACAAAAAACATTTTTTTTCTAATGATTTCTTTGGACAATAAAAAAAGAAAATGAAATTTTTTTTATGAAAAAAGGTTGACCTTAATTTTGTTGTTGTTGTTGTTGAAGAAATCTCATTTCTTTTCTCCGTTTTTTTAATTTTTTGGCTCCTTTTTTATTGTAAAAATAGTTAGTTAGTTTCTCTAGACCTTTTTTTCTTCTTTGGTGTTGTTATCAGTGATAAAAAAAAAGAGAAATGGAATGTTGTTAATTTGAAAAAGAGAATTTTCTTATCTTTCCCTCTATTCCATAGGGAGTTGATAATTGAAAGCAATATATATATATATATATATATATATATATATATATATGTACATATAGACTTTTGAAAGTGGGTCTTTTGATCACAGGAAATTAAACTTCTATGTATGGATATATATATAGATTGATATAGAATAAATCGTACTGTATTAATGAGTGATGTATCAAATAAATGGTTCATTGAATTCTTAGGTTATTTACAATGTAGTTTAATTTGAAGGCGTTACAAAAAAGAAATGGTCATTTTTATTTTATTTTATTCTTTGTGAAATATATTTTTCTTTTAAAAAAAATTTTGAATAATAAGTGTATTGTAAAGAATGAAATAAGGCTAATAGATTATATATATATATATATATATATATATATATATATATATATTTGTTCAAGTTAGACATTAACACCGTTAGATACCGGCTCAGTGAGTGGTCTAACGGTT